CATTTTCGCAATCTATGCCAAGAATAAATCCGATAATGCGTAAAAGTTTATTCATAGAAAACCTTTAAATCTATTATTTTACATGAATACTTATGATGTATATAGGAATGAAATTCTGAGCACTTTACTAGTTTTATATTGATATTGAACTGACTGTTGTACGATGAGATTATCATACGTTCAATGTTATGGCTCCATCTGTGGTGAAATAATTAATAATAGTATAGTAATATCTTCTTGTTAAAGTTCTTGAAATTTAAAACGACTAGCACATTATTTAGAAGCTAAAAACGAGAATTAGAATATTTGTGTACATGTATTCCCCCTTTTCGTTATAGAGTGCATTGAGATAAAAAATGACTAAGACTTCTACGAATACGGCGCAGTCAGGATGCTATACAACTTAACGTTTAATTCAAACTATGTCAGTAAAATAACCTATTTAGTCTCTAATGCATCTGAGGTTACTTTATTAAAGAAAAATAAGTTAGGCAACAATTGCACAACTGTTTGATTCTTTTTCAAGTCTTGAAAAAAAATATTAATTGATCGTTTGATGTTAGTACGATTTTACATCAAAAACCAAATATCGGTTTGTAATATAAGTTCTGCAAGTTTTTTACTCATAAGCAAAAGTTTTGTCATTAGATTTAAGACAAATCGTATTCTTTTGATGAAAATCTGCGAAAGATCCATCAGAAAAAAGAAAAATAATGATCCAAGAATAGTGTGTTAGAAAAGAGCAAAAGCACAATAAGTCACTTTTCTTTGCTGAGAAATATGAAAAGAGTGAGTGGAACTAACTTGAGGCATACGTTGACCCATTTCGACTGTAATTCTGTTTGCATCACCATGTCTCGATGCTTCAATGTTTCTGGTTGAAATTTTTACAAAGCATACAGCTCAAAATAAGCAATCTACTGGTATAAATTTCGCCATGATTCATCTTCAGTATTTCAACTACAAACCACCCAAAATCATTCAGAAAGAGGATGTCTTGTTACCAAAAGATTCACCATAAAATTCTGCGTCCACTTCACTATGATCTAATAGCTCGAGCTTATGCGACACCAACCTTTGTTGATGAACAAAAATCCTGCAGAACTTATGTTGAAACCCAATAAAAACCTGACATCATTTCGAAGCGAAACTTACAGTTGACGCAACTGGACAAACTGAAACCTGACTTACAGATTTCTAAATCATAGCAAATTCAAATAATTTCTTAACTAGCTTGTTTTCAGTAAAAAAAGCTGTGTCATGATTTAAAACTTTTTGAATATAAGTTCTATGGTTCTGGAATACTAAAGATCCTATTCTATTTTGAAGAAAATCTCGTATTTCTCTGATTCATTCATTTTTATTCTTATATTTATATACCTATATCCTCTATAAGAAGATGGAAATATAGATAAAATCTTACTCCTAGATGTATCTGACCATAATGAGGAAACAAACCAAAGTTCTAACTACATAATATGACAAGTAACACTCGTCCATGTGACTCGCTTGACCCTCGACTGCATATTCAGCCCTTTCCATTTTTTCTTCCGATTTACAGTCTTTAAAACATCTAGTATCCGATTTTCCAAAAGGGTGCATAGGTATGTGTACGCTGACATTGACGTCAATCTCATTGTGCATAATTTTATTCGAGCCGGGATGAGCATTTTGTCACGAATGCATCCAATGAAATTGATGCCCTCAGATTGACACTCAACAGTAATCTAAGGAACCACACTATGACGAGGATATCCATATGTACACAAAAAGAGGATCTTATATTCAGTTTTCCGAGAGGTAATAAAGCAAAGTTCATTCGCGACATACTCCTTAAAATTTCTACTTTATCAACAACAAAGCATTTCATCAAGGAAACTCCCGTTTATTTCATTCGAATAGCATACCAATAGAACGAATATAAATTCTATAAATAATGTTTTCCCTCAAATGTACTATTCAAATATCGCACATGTGCAGAAAAGACGCTCTCACACTTTATTTCATAATATGTCTCAGTTCATAGCAACTGCTACTCCTTATTCCAAGGGGGAAACAGCGGACTTCAAGTAGACAAATTACCTCAAAGTACAAAAGTAGCTCGAAGTTTCGAGAAAGTACTGGAAATTACGGCAAAGTATCTATAAAGTACTTTGAACTATGACAAAGTAGCACATTTGGCACGATTTGATTCTTTAGATCGTCGATGTCACTCAATGTTATTTCATATCGCTACAGATGTATTTAAAATTCTCTGATATCATCGTTAGACACTCAATTTACGATCCATCGCTTACAAAAATCAGCTTCTAAAATCCATCTGTCGAATTTTAACAATTTTCCTTGTTGAAATTACCCGTGTTTTGATGTTAAAACTATACGCACATTGATATTTCTACTGCCTCATTCTATTTCTATTCTTGCATAAATTCTTTTCGACCTACACCATTCGCTAGAAAAAAGAATGCGCTACATGATGAGGTACTTTTCATCGAAAACACACTTTGCAAAAATGGCTGCATTTTAACAGGTGCGTATAAGCTATGCAGACCTTTAGTAAATCCTGTTTTCTTGCACCAAAATGAGATCGAGATTAACTTTCAAATATATCACCAAAAAGAGCATTTAAAACAGCACAAGATAGACTATTCGAGCAGTATTTAAAAAGGATATATTATATGGAATGCGATTAAATTCCGTAGATTAATTAGGTTGGGACCCACCGATGGATCTCATCGTGCCGAATGTGGTAGGTTACAGTATCTCTCAAATATTTAAAATGAATGGAAAAAGATTGCATCGAATTTAAGAAAATATGGCAAAAGCTTTATTCACCTATTGAAAGACTGGTGGCGCATTCGCATTACAATTGGGAAGTAATGAAGATTCATTGCTTTCTCAAGTTGTTCATGCTTCTTTGACAATGATTAATCAATTTGTCTTTGTCTTATGAACTTTTTATTGCGATCTTTCAGTTTCTTAATAAAGTGATGCCACTATTTGTAAAATTACGTGCAATACAATAAAAATTTTTCTCAGATCACTCCGAAAAAAGTGTCAGAATATTTTGTATTATGCATGTTACACTACATCCCATGCATATTCATTTTCCTCCATTTTCCAAAATTCTGATTCTGATGGTCATCTAACTGAAATTTCAGTTAGTATGCTCCGATTCGTAGTTGTCAAAACAAGAGTCTATTCATAAAGAAGGAAAAATAAAATCAATAGACTATCTGGATGCTAAGTCTATTACATCTATGTTCGCTTCTTACGTCTATGAGTTCTTCAAAAAGACAGACACGTGAAAATGACTGACAAATTTTAAATTAGCGTCACGTTGGAAATCGAAGAATCATTGAGAGACAGATGCAGATAAAAACTCGAAGTCGTTTGCAATGCGATTTGAATAAATCTTACTAAAAAACGTAATACTGTATGCTTTAAAGCTTCTGATATGTTGTGAATATCAGATGCGGTTATTCAATGCTGCTATACTACGTCTGTCACAAATCGGATAATTTAAATAACTTTCTAACACTTGGGCTGCTCCTTATAGAGGAGGGAGGGGGAAAAAAAGAAATTTAATATAGTATTGCTTCAAAGTTTATCGCCTTCCTAAGATACTGAGCTGGCACCGCTAATGAAATTGATGATGCTTCATCAAGTACTATACTAGACACATGTCAGATTGATTCTCAGGTATTATTAAAGCAGAGTACGCAAACTGGTAAACAGAGCTTGACATCACAGTCACAGAAACATCATCCAATAAACAGAACCCAACCAGACAAAAATTTCACAAAACGCTTTTAAACGCATAAACGGGAATCATGATTGCAAGCCTTTCATGGTAATTAGTAAAACGACAGAAATGCCGTTCTTAGGGTGAAACCATTACTTTCAAAACGATGCGGTTCCTGTTTGTGCATTTAAACGCATTTTTCAAAATTTTTGTCTGTTTAGGAAATCGTCGTTGAAATTTATTCAGTCGACATGTGATCTTCGGTGTCATATTTTATATTTTTATTTTGAATGAATCATTGCAACACTTGTTGTGATTCGAATATTTTTACAATTTTCTCTTGAATACATTGGAAAAAAAACAGTTATAAAGTACTATACAAAGAATGTATTTTTGTAATTATATTAAGAAGCTTTGTAGTAGATCAAGCTTCTCAAAGTACTTTTAAGTACGTTAAAGTCACTTAAAGTAGGCTAAAGTAACTTAATGCACAAAAGTCCGCTGTTTCCCCCTTGCCTTATTCAAACCCGTTTGACCTAGACTCTTGATGTCTATTTGATGAATACCAGCAGCTTGAAGCATTTCTTTAAGGGACTTTCTAGTGCAATGGCTAGTCGCTGCTATGTTTCGTTCTATTTCTCCACAGCACTATCCTTCTTTATTTACACTTCATCTACTCACAAACTCGGCTTAATTCAAAAAACCATTAGATCTATAGCATGAGAATTCTCGACAGGGATTTCTAAACCAAAGCTTCGTTGTGAACTATTTCTGATTTCTTCAATTTTATCCTGCAGCTGAAAAATCAGAGTCTTAACGAAATACCTCATTAAGAAAATGTTAGTGCAGTTTTTTCAAAAATGTCTGCTTGTACATTAAAAAAAAATTTTCACAAAACATGTTTCTTTGACCTGCCACAAAAAATAAGAAAGTTCGTTTCTGATTGGTCGATTTTCGACCAATGAACCCTCGGCCAAAAAAAAGCCTCAGATTCGGATTCAGAGCCCTCAATAACCTATAGTAAAGTTCACTCAAAACGGCCAAAAGTCTTAACATAAGCTAACCTCTCTGATATACTGTTTTGATCCCAATCAAGCAAGATAAGAAAGAAATGCATTTTATTTCGTATGACCCTCCCTTCAGTCGTGGGAACTACGTGCAAAACAAAGATTTTGATTCCTTAGTAACGTTCCAACAAAAGAGCAAAAAGTCTTAAAATAAAGGAGTTCGTTTCTGATTGATCGGCTCCCGACAAATGAAACCACGTTCAAAGAAATGTACTTCGGATTCGGATTCAGGACCCTCGATGGCCTACATCAAAGTTTCATCAAAACAGCGAAAAGCCTTAGAACCAGTCCATGTAAGCAATGACCGAAGTTCCTCAATTTAAGATATGTTATAGAGAAAAGAGTTTTATGATTTTTGACGCAAACCAGGTCAAAAACTATTGAACCCTCGATTCTTCTTATGAGC